AGAGTGAGAGAAATCTAATTAAAGAATAAGTTTCGGGATTAATAAATACAAAATCCATTACTTCTTTATAAATTGCTTTGTTTAAGTTAAGATACAAAACAGCAGATATGATTTTTGGAGGATCTGGGGAGGATTTTCGCTTATAAGGCAGTATATGTTTGATCGGTGACGTTCTTTGTGATCGAGTCGGGCGAAAACACGCCATAAATATATATATATATATATATATATATATATATATATGGCGTGTTTTATGTTATGGTGTTATATATGTATATATATATATATTTATAAAAGTGAACATAGAAGTCAACACTTAGAGGCGACAGTCTGTTTCATGCTAGATGCAATCGTCAGGTGGCCTGTTGATTGCATATGTTCACTTTATATTTACAAATGCTCTATCTCTGATATTGAGCACGTTATCCCATAAATATAGCACATTAAGACTATATTTCTTCATATATATATATATATATATATATATATATACTCTCGTTAGCCGATTGAGCATTATAAAGAAAGGGTAATTTAAAAAAAACAGTGACTGCTGCTGCTATTAACGAATCGCTCTTCAATTACGAATTGAGCAATCTTGGCTACAAGCGTTTGTATACATCTCATATAATACGTTAAAAATTTCCCTTTCTTTGCCGTGCGACGATAGCTTAGGGGTAGAATTTCTGACATGCCAAATCGATCGAGTTCCGATCCCGGCTTGAAGCAATCGGACGTCTAGCCACACGGATAAGTGTGTGTGTCTCAACGGCTGTTGTGATACGTCTAATGTGGTAGTCTGTTGTGGTAGTGCTTGTCGCTTTTAGTTACCGCTGCTGGCTAGCAGAAATGCGAAAAGGGGAGTCGAGTGCATAAGTCTTCCCCTGGCAGTATATAGCCTCTCCATCAAGCAAGCCCTACCGCGCTGTTACCAAACTGTATTGCTTTACCCTTTCCTTTGGACTCTGCTAGCAAGGCCGAGAGGGGGAACTAGACGTCCGGGCAGCCATAATTCTCCATACGTCCCGCCCAGGTTCGTGGCGCACTGCTCTACTCCATTGTCTCCGAGATGGACGGATGCCAAACCAAACCAACCCAAAATATATACATATATATATATACTGGGCGTACAAAATTGTCCAAATCGTGTAAAAGCAAAATTGTCCATTTGTTAGAAATGATTAGAGATATCTTACTGGAATTCTCCGAAATTTTTATAGCGTCATTGGACTATATTTTGAGCAATAAGAATGCATAATTACTGTCCAAGCTTAACAAAGGAATCGTGATGAAATCGATCATAGCTAAGAATTAGAAACTCATGAATAAAGTTCAAATATATATATATATATATGTATATATATTATTCCAAGATCATTTTGCAACTTACTCAAAATGATTTTCGCCCTCTCTAAACTTCTAACTTTCTGTCTTGGAGTAACAAGGTACTCACACTTTTCACGAACGATTTCATTTTCAAGACTTTATCACTGTACTTTAGATTGTCATAGCTGAAACTCCTCTCTCATGTGCCAAACATCTTATAGATTGAGTTGGATCTTTTCTAATTGATCTCTTTAGCACTGAGTTGAAATAATGATCCCTGTTCCTCTTTTGACCTTCTGATCCAGTTTTCCTCTCTACTCTTCCCTCATTTTTAAACATATTCACCCTCCTCTTGATGGTTCTTGAATGGACTTTGAAGACAGAAGTCAGAGTATGAATGTTGGTACCATTACTTAAAACTTGAATGATCTTTTTCCTCTCACCATTGCTCAGTTGGTAAGATATGGTGGAGCTGATACAAAACGATTTTAACCTGTTCTATTTCTAGCTGAATAACTCAAGGGTTTTTTCAGTGATTCTTACGACAAATGGTGTCCGGATGACTGAACGTCTTATCTTAAGACCTGGAAAAAAAGAAATTCAATTAGTTAACTGTTTTTTTTTTTTTTTTAGATATTAAACATTTTGTGGGATGAAAAATGATGCTATTACACGATTCGGACAATTTTGATATTATAACCGGTATACACACACACACACACACACACACACACACACACATATATATATATATATATATATTATATGTATGTATGTGTGTGTCTGTCTGTGTGTGTGAGCGTGTGTATGTGTGTTTTTTTATTTTATATATATATATATATATATACATGGTGTATGATGGTGTATGATGAAAAACATACGTATACGCATACTTGCATGTACATAAATATATTATACTTATTATAAAACCCAGGTCGCGTGTGTGTGTGTCTGTACCTTTCTATATTGGATCGGATTTCCTACATTTTTCAACCGATTTCAACAAAACTTCACAGGACTACGTAAAATTACCTTGCGGTGGTTCTGACAGCGCCCAAAATTGGAAAAGCACAATTGTTTTTGCATGAAATCACTTTGAAAACACGATTAAGAGGCATCGCTGTCGAGAATGAAAGGGAGACAACTCACATCGAGTTATACTTATTATAAAACCCAGGTTGTTTGTGTGTGTGTGTGTGTGTGTGTGTGTGTGTGTGTGTGTGTGTCTGTGTCTGTGTTCGTTTATATATATATAAGGGTTCAATGGGCATATTTTTGACCAAGCCCACGGGCTCGGAGATCCCACGTTAAAAATGCCTTGTGCCACATGAGGCCCTAGTGGGAGGGTGACTGAATATCGTTCGTTTATATATGGGATCGGATTTCCTACATTTTTCAACCGATTTCAACAAAACTTTTTTTAGCAGGTATTGTTTCTTATTGTCTTGCATACTTTTTTCTTTATTTTTACATTCAGAATGCTTTAAAAATTCCATTTACAAGACAATTGTTTATAATAAAATCCTATTCAATCGGTAGACTCATAACGATTGAAAACAATGTTTTTGTTTGAGTTTGGGTTTGACCAATTCGTAAAAAAACAAAAACAAAAAACCTAATTAAGACATGCGTGTCCGTCAATCTTAAACAATAATCTTTGTCAATTTTATTTTTCAGTCTTTATGATGGTCGATACTTGATCTATCTCTTACTGTTCATCCGCGGGCAACGCCGGGCTCTACTGCTAGTATATATATATATATATATATATATATATATATATGTGTGTGTGTGTGTGTGTGTTCTCAGGTGTTATAACATCAGTGCTATATAACAGAGCTATTAAGTATATATTATACATAATATCCCACGTCGATAGCACGACTCGGAGTTTCATGTGAATACGCAATCTTCAGTCCCAGGATAATCTTTTGTACTAAAGACCTAGATCGATATAAATTATAGTTAATTAATTTAAATATTATAGACACCAATAATAAAATGAAGGGAATGGAGGGAAAGTAAAAAGACAAACGTTGCTAGGAGCTAAAAAGGATATATGTTGTGGAGAGTCATGACCATTGACGCCCTGAAGGGACACACACTGAGAAGAAGATAAAAGAACCTTATTAGTACTACACTATTTCTTTAATAAATTATCGATTGGAACATGATTTTTTCTAAAACTTTTGGCTTAATTTATTTGTATACCTTTAAAAATCAAAGCGATTTGTTAAAATAATTCATCATTTTCTATATGCTATGAGAAATTTAGCGATTGTGGCTCTCCACAATTTCCTGTCCATTGGCGCTCTTGATAGATGTCTACTTATTTTTTTTTTGTTATATCTCCTAAATCCTGTTTTGTCAACGATTTATTCAAGCTCATTTTTCTTCCATGTTCCTTGTCTCTCCAGAACGTGTGTGATCATGGCTCTCCACAATTTCCTGTCGTTTGTAGCGCTTAATAAATTTGTATTTTTGATATCTCTACTAATCCCTGTTCTGTGATCAATTTACTCAAGTTCGCTAAATAAGTTATATATTGTATTCCTCCGTCCATCTTGCCTTCAGTTTGCTCTGTGAGTATTAAATTTTCTAAGCCCTCTGTCCTCATTATGAGCCCTAGAAATTTCAACTCTCTCTTCCTGATGTTAAGTATAACTGTCCTGGGATGCGAGCAACAAACTTGACAAGAAATTGGCGTTCGACCCCTCCCCCACCATCCTCCTTAAAAGTCCAAACCTTTTGACCATTGATTGAACCTGTCCTACTGTATGGATCACAAACTTGGACATTATCTGTTCGTCTTGAAAGAGAAGTTGATGGAACATATACAAATCTGCTTAGAAAAATCCAGAACATAAATTGGAGATCCCATGTAACGCTTAATACAATAAATGAGACCAATTTCTCAAACAAAAACGATTATAGTTTGCCGGCCATTTCCAAAATGGCGGACAGGAAAATCGTCTCATCTTTACTCCTATGTCATCTTTCTGGAAGTGTCTTCCCACGAAAATTGACTTTTCCAGGCATCATAGCTCGGGACTCAGGGTATAAACATTGGGGACCTGGGGACAGCAGTAAAACAGTTACGACAGAATAGTGAGTTCGATCTTCACTGGGTACCTCATATATTCAGCCTTGTGCCACATCTAAGCCACCCTTAGAAAATCAATATGGGTCCGAACAGTGTGGAAAGGACATTGTCAGTGAAGTTTCGACCGACTATAGGGAAGTGGAAGGATGATGATGATGATGATGATGATGATGATGATGAGTGCCATTTTGTTTCATTAGAAAGAATAAAACATTGTTTTACAATGCTTTACAGGACACAAAAGGTTGGCATAGTGTATATGTTACCCGGGTGCTTCAAGTTAGATGTTCGAATAAGGACAGGATTCATGTGTAAGATTTTAGTTCTTTTTAGTTTGAGACAAGTTACGGTGAAACGAACAAAGAAATAAAACTGTTGGAAAATCGCATTGTTCCAAATTGAGATGGATTTTGGAAGACAGATACCGGAACAGATTAAGATGGAAAAGGACTTCTCTTTTTTTTTTTTTTTTTTTACATTTTGAAAACCGAGCAGCAAAAAAAAACGGAGGGAAGAAACGAAAAAAGAACGGCAAGAAAAAAATCAATGACAAGAAAAAAATAAAATGAGAAAATTAAAATTGGAAGGAAAGAAGACGAAAATAAATCAAGAATAGTAAAATGAAAACTTCAAACGAAAATAAAGAAGGAAGATAGAGAGAGAAAGAGAGATTAACAGAACGTGATAGATAGATAGATAGATAGATATGATTAGGCTGAGATAGATATATATGAACAGACCTACAGAAGTACATATATAGGAACAGACTGTGATAGATAGATAGATAGATAGATAGATAGATAGATAGATAGATAGATAGATAGATAGATAGATAGATATGATTAGGCTGAGATAGATATATATGAACAGACCTACAGAAGTACATATATAGGAACAGACTGTGATAGATAGATAGATAGATAGATAGATAGATAGATAGATAGATAGATAGATCCAATGAAAAGAATGTGATAGATAGATAGATAGATAAATAGATAGATAGATAGATACAATGAAAAGAACCTAATAGATAGATAGATAGATAGATAGATAGATAGATAGATAGATCCAATGAAAAGAATGTGATAGATAGATAAATAGATAGATAGATACAATGAAAAGAATCTAATAGATAGATAGATAGATAGATAGATAGATCCAATGAAAAGAATGTGATAGATAGATAGATAGATAGATAGATACAATGAAAAGAATCTAATAGATAGATAGATAGATAGATAGATAGATAGATAGATAGATAGATCCAATGAAAAGAATGTGATAGATAGATAGATAGATAGATAGATAGATAGATAGATAGATAGATAGATAGATCCAATGAAAAGAATGTAATAGATAGATAGATAGATAGATAGATAGATAGATAGATGGGATCAGTCTGAGATAGATAGATAGATAGATAGATAGATAGATAGATAGATAGATAGATAGATAGATTAAATGAAAAGAATGTCATAGATAGATAGATAGATTAAATAAAAAGAAAGTAATAGATTAAATGAAAGAAGGAGATAGATAGATAGAAAGATAGATAAAAACAGAATAAGATAGATATGAACAGAATGAAATAGATTGCTGTCATTCACCCCCGTGAATTCATTCACGCAATCAGAATGCATGTTCCGTGCGCTGTGCACGCCTTTCTCACGTGTCCACCCAGACGTCTTCCACGCATGTGCACGTGAAGTCTCACAAAATGCACACTGCTGCTGGCTGCCTGGTCGCGGCTGCACCATCCTCCCTATCCGTATTGTCGTGGTAAACAAAGAAATGGTACAAACTTGGTCCCAAGCACATCTGACTACACTCGCCTCTCGCCCACTAACCTCAAAAATAAATAAAGTTTCGAAAAGAATATTAAAATATCACCCCGACGGCATCGCTTCGGGCGAGAGATATGGGGGCGGTGCAACAGGGGACGAGGGAGGAGAATACCAGCAGAGGGGGGGGAGCCGATAAATATTAAGGCTTCAAGTCAAAAAGTGAAAGAGCTGAGAAAGTTGAGTTTCGAGTTTTTTTTGACACAGATGTAATTTATAAGAGGAGATACAATTTCAAATTTTTCTCTCCAGATCTCTTTATGGTGTAGCCACCCCCACCCACAAAAAAAGCAAGAAGAAAGAAAAAACAGAAAATGGATGACAAAATAGAGACTGCTTAAATAAAGAATATACACAAACATGCATATAAATGCCCACACTAATGCACATATTAAGAAATGGACAAAGTCCGAGAATTTATTTATTAAAGACATTTTTATGTTTAACGTACTTTTTTAAATTTTTTTTTATAGATACAAGTAAATACGAATATTTTCTATGAAAAATTTCTCGGACATTCAGGCCGGTAAATGCTATTTAATACTGTTAATTATAAACAGAGCATTTACTTAAATACTTGTATCTATAAAAAGACCGTTAAACATGAAAATGTCTTTAATATATATATATATATATATATATATATTATGAAATAGACAATGTCCGACAATTATTTTGAGACATTTTTTATGTTTATACGTTTTTTTTTATCGATACAAATATTTAAGTAAATGCTCTGTTTATAATAAACAGTATTAATGACATTTAACCGTCTGAATTTTTCATAGAAAATATGCGTCCTCCGACAGGAATCGAACCTGTATCCTATACGAAACCGTCATACAGCCTGACGTGCTTTTACCGATTTCGCCACAGAGGAGCGTTCGGTTAACAAGGTCGATTTTACTGTTTTTAAACTAAAATTCTCCATGATTTTCTCTCATACATCCATATCTGCTCGGTGCGTATCCAAATGTAAACAAATGACGTCACACATTATAAAATGGACAAAGTCCGACAAATATTTTAAGACATTTTTTATGTTTATACGTTCTTTTTCTAAACATAAAAATGTCTTGGTATAGATATATATATATATATATATATATATGATCGAAATAAAAGTGTAAAATTTTATTTACACTTTTATTTCGATCATTAAATTTGTACCTACAAAAATATCTTTATATATATATATATATATATATATATATATATATATATATATATATAAAATATAGTTTTAAGGTTTGCTGTATTTATGGGTTAAAGTGCTCAATATATATCAGGGATAGAGTGTATGTAAGTATAACAGTGGACATTGTAGTCAACGCACAGAGCCGTCAATCTGCTTCATCCTAAAGGTCATGTGCGTTGTGTTTTTGCTCGACTATTTATATATGAAGGTCAGTCATGCGTTGTGTTTAGGATATTGTATTGCATTGTGGGTAGTCTGCTGTATTATTCTAACAGTTATTTTGGTGGGCAGAATCGGTTGTGTTGCGAATTATTCTCGGAACTATTGAGTGGGAATAATTGTACATCCGAATGCAGTATTTTTGGCTATTTAGTGTCGTTAGTTAACTTTTTTATTTATTATTGATTATTTTATTTTTTGTTTTTATTACTACGTTTTCTTGTGTTTATCTGTACGTGGTTTGTTAATTTGTTTATTATTTATTTAGATTATTTATTTATTTATTTGTTTCGATTCATTTATTTTACTTATCTTTACTTTTTTACTTATTTATTTTCGTTTATTCTTGTTCGTTTTCAGTTTCGATTTTAAGTAAGGTAGTAAAAATTTGTTTCCGTTTCTGCATTTTGAGATGAGTTCTGATCGTATATTTAGTAGTTTGTTTTGACCTGGGAAGGTTATTATAGCTATTTTTCTACCAGGAAGGGTTTACAGTTTTTGAATTTATTCCTGTAAGATGATAATTTTTTTCTTATTTTCCATTATATTTGTTTTTTGTTTTTAAGCTTCCAGATATGTTTTAAAAGCATTGTGCTATTCTCGTATTTACTATTTATAAAGGCGTTTTGTGTCTGTAGTTTGTTTATTTCCAGGATCATCCATTTTACAGTGGTTTTCTATATGCTATTTTCTATTTTACACACATGCACACACATACACAAATACACACACACACACACATATATATATACATATAAATATATATGAAGAAATATAGTTTTAAGGTGTGCTATATTTATGGGATAAAGTGCTCAATAAACAATAAAGACATATTAACAAATCAATCCCACCAAAATAACAGTCAGAATAGACCTCAACAACCAATACAAAAATTAGAATAAATAAAAATATACAAAATAAAAAATAAGTAAATATATAAATAAAACTAATAAAAATTAATCCAAATAAATAAATGAATGAACAAATTAACAAATCGTCCCCGATAAAATAGCCGTTAGAACTAATAAAAATAAGCATAAATAAGCAACAACATGCAATCAATCCAAATAAATAAATTAGAAACTGTCCACCCGCCAAAATAACAGAATAGACTACGTCAAGCCATCTAAACATTGGACGAATAAATACCTTTAATTACCTTCCCAGATAAAAACTATTAATTAAACGACCTAAGCACATCCCCATCATATTTTTTACTACATTAATAAAACATCAAAAAACAAAAAGAATTAATAATACAAAATGAAAAATAAGTTAAATAAATTAAAGAAAGAAACAAGCCACTCCCGCAAAATAACCGCCAGAATAGATTACCCATAATGCACCACTGTCCCATATATATAAATAGCCGAGGAAATATCCATCATTCGCTGCCTGACGATCGTGTCCAGCGTGAAAGAGCCTGTCGCCCCTGAGGCTGTTTCACGCTGGACGCAATCGTCAGGCCGCGAATGATGGATATTTCCTCGGCTATTTGTATATATATGAAGAAATATAGTCTTAAGCTGTGATTTTTCTCGATAACGCATATCTGCTTAGTTTCGTATCATAAACAAACCAGTTTCTAAAGAATGAGCGTATTTTATTTTTTAATCTGATATATTTTATTGCTTCAGACTTACACTCTATTACTTCTGTAGTGATAGCAACAAAAAAATCACTAAATGACCTCTAAACCTTACTGCTAAACCACGTAGGAATATGAAACCCCCAAAAAAGAAATGATTAATTAAACAAGAAGTCAAAGTTAAGTAATAAAATTTCTTTAAAAATATAGATAAGAATGGTAATTAAAAATAAAGAAAAAAGTTACATTAGAAAAACTAAAGTTAAATAAATTTTGAACACTCCCATTATTCTCTGGAACAATCTTTTTACCATCAATTAAAAAAAAATCATGTCTTTCTCTCTACAACATCGACGGCTAAACGAAGTGACTTGTTCTTAAAAGTATACGAAAACTTTATCGTTTTTTTTTAGTTTTTTTTTTATTATTGTGTTGTATTTTGTAATATGATTTGCTTGTAACTTATATATGTCCGTTATGCAGGGATTTAAACTCAAACAAAATTATATATATATATATATATATATATATATATATATATATATATATATATATATATATATATATATATACAGATAAGAGAATGAACAGATAGGATAAAAATCCACTGTTCATAGCATTTATTTTAGCATTTTGAAGTGATCAATACAAAGTAGAGCAAAATATTATTATAATATTTTTATTATAATAAATTACAATAAAAACAGTTTACATCGATAAACATCAGGCGATGGTAGATAACTAATGCTGAAAATGGTTTATTAGAGAAACTTTAAGAAGAAATTAAAAAATCTTTATTTATTAAGGAAATGTAAAAAAAAACAAGTTTCTTTTTTCGTAAGTTAAAGGCGGGTTATAACTTACGAAACCAAGTAAAGATTTGTTGATTTTTTTTAATCCCTAATAAATCATTTTGATCATTAGTTGTCTTCCATCGCCTGAAGAAGTACCATCTTGTATCAAGGCATGAAAATTTTTGTGTAGCGATGTAAAAATCTTTTATTGTAATTTAAAAAATATAATATAATATAATATATATATATATATATATATATATATATATATATATATATATATATATATATATATATATATATAAGAAGTACATTCAAAAAGGGCGGCGCATCACCATAACAAACCCACAACAATTCTTTATAAATTGCAATACGTTTCGGATACGAAACTGAGCGAAAATTCGATACATAGGAAAATCTGATCATATGAATGTGCTTTAAAGGCAAAACGAGAACATTGATATATATATATATATATATATATATATATATATATATGTGTGTGTGTGTGTGTGTGTGTGTGTATTTATGTGTGTGTGTGTGTGTGTGTGTAAAATTCAGCTAAAATAAATATATATCTGTAAAAAAGACAATAGCAATAAAGACAAAAAAAAAACTTATCTTAGCCGACGCGTTTAGTCGTCTGATCGACTTTATCAAGACAAATGTAAGGATTTTATCTCGCAATGTGTATTTACAAACAGAAGTAAAAATTGTTCTTAGTCTTTCGAAATGTTTTAAATCAAGAACGCTCATAGATATAATTCAGGCTAACTAAAAGTCAAGGTAAATTATGGAAGATGCGAAGTGATGTAATTTAATGTCTGAAAAATGAAA